TCTTCCACGTGGATTATTAGATGACATGTCATCGTGTGCGTCATCGTGTTCCCGTTAGTTAACAGCACACGTCACTAGATTTTTAACGGAAGGACGTAAAAATGGTAAAGAGTAGGGACCAAATCAGGGATTTTTTTAGTTCAGAAACCAAATCAGGGGTCCGTATAATAGTTCAGGGACCAAAAAGGGGTTTTAACCTAATAATAATAAGGTTAAATGCTAAATTTGATCCCTCAACTTTAGTGAGTTGCACATTTTTGATCCCTTAACAATTTTTTGCATTTTTTTGATCCGTTAACTATACGAAATGCACTCCGTTAGTCCTTCTATTAATTTGAGCCGTTAACTCGCTTATGTGGCATTTTTTATAATTTTTTTTATGACGTAGCAAAAATAATTTTAAAAAACGTTGATGTGGAATTTTTTTTTAAGCCAATTCACTGCCAACTCATCAATCAATTTTGCCTTAATAAAAAAATAGGAAATTACAAATTTACCCCTCTCCCCTTTTTGATTCATCTTCTTCCCCTCTTTCGATCATCTTCTTCCTTTCTTCTTTTTCTTTTTCTTTCTTCCTCTTCTTTCTTCCTTTTCTTCCTCTATATCTGCTGGGTTCCGGTGGAACCCAGCAGATATGGGTTCACCGAACCCAGCAGATCTGGGTTCGGTGGAACCCAAGTTGCTGGGTTCCCGTGGAACCCAGCAAACTGGGTTCGAGGAACCCAGATCTGCTGGGTTCCACGGGAACCCAGTTGGCTGGGTTCCCGTGGAACCCCGTGGGCTGGGTTCAGGGTGCATTTCGTGAAGTTGAGGGATCAAAAAAGTGCAAAAAATTGTTGAGGGACCAAAAATGTTCATTTCTTAAAGTTGAGGGACCAAATTAAGCATTTAACCTAAACAAATTCTCTAAAAAAATTTTTTAAAAAAGGTTAAATGCTAAATTTGGTCCCTTAACTTTAAGAAATGCACATTTTTTATCCCTCAACAATTTTTTGCACTTTTTTAATCCCTCAACTCTAACAAATGCACACCGTTAGTCCTTCTGTTAATTTTCACCGTTAACTCTGCATATGTGGCATTTTTTATATTTTTTTTGATGACGTGAAGCGTAAAATTAAAAAAAGTAATGACATGGACAAAACGTTTTGCCATGTGTTTAAACAGCAAACATTTTCTCAGCATCCAAACACCCTTCTAGCCAAACAAATGAGAACCCACTAAGAATTGCTTCTTTACCCATTAATCACTGCTTCAATCACTGCTTCTGTTCTTTCCATTTTGAACA